GATGAGGTATTGAAATTGTAAAAACTCTTTCAATTTTTTGGGAACATTTCAGAAGAGTATCTGTAACTTGAGCCAATGTCCAGCCTGATTTTCCCCAAGTCAAATTGTCCTCATGTTGGGGTTGTTGCATCCCAAAGTGATGCAGCTCCAGCATCTGGCTACAAGCTGGACCAGAAAACGTGTTGTATTTCAAAGCCAGTGAGCCTTGCAAAAATCCTGTTTTTGCTAGACTCAATGAGCCTCACTCAAGGACAAGAAGTGGTCATAACTTCTTCAATTTTCCTGAAATGGCCAATCATGAGCCAGGAAGAAATCACCTGATTTCTTCCTGACCCAGTCCAAGCACCTGGGTATAAAAACCTTCATTCCTCTTTGAGAGGAGAAGTCAGAACTTAGTGTTAAAGGGCCTTTTAACTTCAATTACCTCATTTAGTATTCTGATCTAACCAACAACCAATCTTACAAGTGACTCTGCCATTACAACCATTCAATTAACAGCCAATTGATGAACTCAGCAATGAGAATGAACTTCTCTGAAAAGAGGTTGAGTTCTTATTCAAAACTTGCATTCTAAAGGCTGCACAATTCAATTCCTTTGTTTGGGATCCAATGGACCCATGACAGGGGTGTCGGCAAATCAGGGTTTCATTGTATACTTTGAATATTAAATAGGGATTCTACTGAGAATTCCTGATGGCCGTATATTGTCCCAGCAGGCTGATTCTGCGTTTCCTCCGTCAAAAGTCAAAACTATATAAATCCCTTTTGAGTTTCGATCCACATCATACAGGGAGCAACTCTCTATTCTCACCTTTTGGTGACTGCTGCTGTTTCGTCCCCATTCAGTAGTGCAGACAATAAGGGTTTCTTATTTTCCTAATGTCCATCATATGTTTTCATTTGCATCTGCAATTCTGAACAGGACCCAAAAAGGCTGCAGAAGGAAGAACAGCGTCGTCGCAGGGCCAAGCAGAAGAAGAAGGAGCTGCGGCAGTTGAAGAAGAAGCGGCGCCAGGAGGAGAAGAGTCGCGGAGTGACTGAGGAAGAAGTGAACAGCACTTACACCGGACTGGACCGGGAAATGGCCGAGGAGTTCATTTCCGTGTCCATGGAGCCTGGCAGGACCATCAATCGCGTCATGAACCACAGTGACGACAACGTCAGCATCAACCACAACGTGTCTTCCACCTCCCTCGTTCACGTTCATCATCACTGAACACACCAGAATCAATAATTTAATCAATGACGACGACGACGATGATGCAGCGACTATTCACTGTTTTTTTATATTTAAAAGAAGAAAAAAAAGGTTGAAGCAAAAGAAATCTGAATGCTATATAGTGCTGACGATGATGCACGTCTTTTATTGATGCCGAATATACGAGAGCAGCATACATTTCAGAGAGAAAAGAATTGTGCTCTTTCGAAAAAGTGAATCACTGGGATGAATGATGCAACTTTTCGATTGATACATTTGTAGAAAAAAAAAGAAGAATTTGAATTGCGAAGGAAACCCAGGAAGGTTCTGTGTGAACTGGTCATTGTTTTGCTGAAAGTAAGACAATAAAGTAAAAAAACATTTCTCGGCATATGGGCGAACGTATACGTGAAAAAATTTGAATTCAATTTCAATTCAAAAATTCTGATGTTCACTGTGGACTGCAAACCTTCTATTTTTATACCAAGAATGTCACAATAAATTTCAAGATTTCAGATGACTTAGAATTATAAAATAATCTATTTAGAAATGATCAAAGGGAATTTATGTTTCCATGCAAGAATAAGTTGTAAATTTATATACAGGGTGTCAAGAAAGTTACCATGCATTGTGGAAAAGTACTGTACGAAGTTTAGTTGACTAGCATCCAAAATCGAATTATCTACAATACAAAGAATAAAATTCCTGACATCCCCTGATGGAATTTGTTTCTTTTCTATTCAAAAATATTTTATGAACCGCTCTGGCAACGAGGGAGATTTTCAAAATTTAATACAGTACCTGAGGATATGTTAAGAGATGCACTGTATAACTTTACTAGCACCTCTTTTACTGCACAAAAACTTACTGAAGACCTCCCAGAAATTTTTAGAAACTTTGGTTTATGGATTCATTTGAAAATAATTCCTTATTCATTTAAATTTGAGAAGAGGTATTTTCTCTCCATGTAGAAGTGGTCCTGAAAAAACCAGGATGATTAATGCGAATATATTTCTACTTGATACAGCGAATGTTTAAAATCTCGATCCATTCCAATCATTCATACAAAAATGTTTTCAACTTTTGCGAATGATGATGATGATGAGGATGGAGAAAATGAGGGGAAATGTGCAAGTTCTCAATGGCATAAATTAAAAAAGGGAACCAGATGAGGTGTCAATAAATAGAGAAGATTCCTCCATATCAGATTAAATTAATGAATTAATTAATTAATTTGAATTGGTAAACAATAAAACTGTGCTCACGTCAGAGTACATGTATACAGTCATGTAAGATTCCCATTTATATCGAGTACTTTAAATCAACCACCTTTTTTTTTTTTTTTTTCGAAAACAGGATTAGTTCCTTATTTGAGTAAATTTTTAAAATGTTCCTCAAAGGAATTTTAAGAACCGCAGCATGTTAATCATATAATAAGGTACATTTGCATTTTTTTAAGAAGTCAAGTGAACGAATTATTGAGGTTATTTATATGAACAGGTCCTGAAAAAACCAGGATGATTAATGCGAATATATTTCTACTTGATACAGCGAATGTTTAAAATCTCGATCCATTCCAATCATTCATACAAAAATGTTTTCAACTTTTGCGAATGATGATGATGAGGATAAAGAAAATGTGCAAGTTTTCAATGGCACAAATTAAAAAAGGAACCAGATGAGTTTGCCAATAAATAAGAGAAGATTCCTCCATATCAGATTAAATTAATGCGAATGCAATTCGAATTTGTAAACAATAAAACTGTGCTCATTTCAGAGTACATGTATACAGTCATGTAAGATTCCCATTTATATCGAGTACTTTAAATCAACCACCTTTTTTTTTTTTTACGAAAACAGGATTAGTTCCTTATTCACTCATTTAAAAATTTTACAAGGAGTTTCCTTAAAATTCTTGGCGTCGTACAATTAGTATATTATTCCATGTAAACGTAAAAAAATTCTTCAGTTCACTTGCTTAATAACTCCAATAAATATACTTGACGCACAACAATAATTCACCCACGAATGATTAAAAAAATATTATTAACGGCTTCCCTGTACTTATATTTTGGGAACTTTCGTTTTGGTGGCACACAGCATAAAATATATATACATGATGTGAGATACTGCTTCGAAGGCCCCTCGTAGTAAATTTATTCAACTCAGATCCACTTTCTCCCGCGAGTGAACTTTCGCCTATGAAACAACCGGGGTTCACCACGTAACCGCGCCTTCACTTCACTGAGGTTCGTCTGTGTAATGTATTGCGGGATCGTGACGAGGGAGATAAAGTGACTTAATAAGTGACAAAACGAGTGAGTGAGAGGAACTCGGGAAACCGGTTATTATTGTTGTTCATTCCTCCAACAAAACCGCCCCGGGGGCCGAAAATAGAAGACCAATGGATTGTTTTTTTTTTCTTTTTTAATTTATTTTTGGTCGGCTCTTGGACTAGTCATACGCTGGGAATGAAGGAACTGGGAGGGAAATATGTTTCCCCCTCTTCTCTTGGGGCCAATTTTGAAATTTCATTTGCTCAACAAAAAAAAACTGCAGTCATGTTTGAGGGATCTTATTCTTCAGGCGAATGACTGAATTTAAACTCTACATAATCAAAGTTCATTTGTCATTTTGACCTCTTTATTCAATTATTGGGAACCTCACTGATGTTTTGGAGTATTTGTGTGAATAAAGATTGCTGAAGGATCACATTTTGGATTTATTCTTGGAAGAACGATGATGAGCATGAAACATCCATAAAATACTTCTGTCGTCCAAAAATAACTAAAAAACAGCACTCCATTCTCAAATGCAAGAGGTGCATTGAAAAATTGGACTAAATGGATAGGTCAAACCAATACATTCAGCATTTTCAGCAAGAATATCAAGTGCTGCCCATAAATTCAAATGAGCATGACTTGAATCACAAACAACAAACACTGCTGTAATTCCATTTTGGAATGCACAAAAAAATTGTTGCATTAAGTATTTTATATGAAAAAATAATATCAATGCCATGTGTCTGCATAAAATTTGACTAAAAAATAAGGGAGTATATATTAATATATACAGTATAATAATATAAAATTCAAACCAATATGCATCAACAGAAAAGGCATTTTAAGCATGTATATATGTCCAATTTCCACCAACTAGTTCTCAAGCAAAAACTGAATAATGATTGAAGAAGAGTGTGTCAATATTGATTTTCATTGGATTTAACTACTCAGAATCTCATGAAAATGAATCTTGTGATAACAAATAATCATATACAGCAAAATAAAGTTTAGGATCCTGTCCAATTACAATTTTGAGTTTCTTCATCGCAATTTTTTGTAAGAATCAAGCCATTTCACAATGGTTGCAATTATGGCTTTGTTGTAAGAAGATTTCACCATATATCACATTTTACAATGAATTGATTCATAATTATAACTCCCTTGACAAATTGTGCACTTTCATCACTCACCACAGGATAACACTTTTCTACAGACTGGCAGAAAAGATCTGCAAATCATGAAATCAGTAGGGCCATTCTGCAGGAAACTGTTTTTGACATGGCTGCATAATTTGTATGCAGAAGCAATCAGCATGGAAATACAGTACTGCATCACAAACATGTCCTAATTTGGGAAATGCCAAACACTTGAAGTGATGTAAAAAAAATGGTTAGCATTTCAAATATAATCCTGCAACTTCAATTAAAAAAAATGATGGAATTACACACATTTCAAATTCAATTTTAATTTCTGAAATACGTACAAAATCATGAATTATCGAAACGCTTCAGCGAGGTAAAAAATGTATCCCTGAAACGCGGGGAGAAACGCGTTCACAAAATTTCCCTCCGCAATGGCGAGCATCTGAAACAAAAAAATTGTGAAAGATAAAATTCATGCAAACGTTGTTTTGAAACAAACATACTTTTGCGCAAACCGGTTCCCAAATCGGATTCACATAGAGGTCGCTCATACACAAGGCGAACACATGCATCGTGATTCGAATTTTCTCCTCCTGACTGATGCTCACATCCGAATGCTTCAAGCAAGTAGCCAACAAATGCTCAAAATCTCCGAAAGTTATAACTGACTTGATGACTACATCCCATCGAATTCGTACTTCCTGAAAAATTCAATAATATTTTAAATGAAGAAGTGAACATATGAACGTTGAAAAGATGAATGCTGAACCTTGGCGAATGCTTCAGGATCATTCGTGTCGCATTGAAGAATAAGATCCACCTGATGAGACACCCATTGCATCCGGAAAGACGCCTGTTGCACTCCTCTAATCGTATCGTTTATGAGATTCTGAAAATCTTGGATCGTCTTTCTGCAAAAATCCAATTCTTGTGAATTGAACGTCACTATCAAGGAATTTTAAAAGATCCATTACTTCTTCAGAAAAATTATTGCACAAGCCTTTCTCTGAGTAGGAACCAATTACCAGTGTTGACGATAAAAGGAGATTTTCATTCTGAAATTATTTAAAATTAGAATATTCAACAAAGAAATTTATTTCATTGCACACCAACATCTGCATCAAGGTATATCGCAAATTTTAGATCACGGATCCATACGATCATACATGCACAAAAAGTGGCTCACATACAACAAATTCCAGCAAAATTATTCTGGAGTAATTTCCAAAATATTTCCAGCAGCCAAAAAAAATACAAGCATTATACGAAGACTACATTTTAGAACAATTTTACAAATAGACGAAGCGTATAATTACTATGAAAGAAGATCAATCACGTAAAAAGTGATTAAGTAAACGCCATATATACTATACGAGAGACCAAAAATTAAAATTTCTCATCACGCAAGGTGATGAAAAATGGCTGTAGAACCCTGAAAAACCCCCAAATCTAGGGCACAATTTAAAAATAAATCAACTTCATGTTAAAAAAAAAATTTTCACGTCCGCATGGACTAGAAATAAATCCTTTTGAAGGGAATCAAAGAAAAGCCTCACTCATCATCCACAGTTCCATCAATGAGCCAATCAATCGGCTTGAACATCCAACGCAATGGATTCGATTCAAACTTGGTGTCACTGATCCCATGAGCAACAGCTCTCTTCACCATTTCTGCACGCAAAATGCCAGCCTTCATCAAGTCAACTCCGTCGCCAGCTTCCACAAGGGCCAGGAAATAATCCGGCGGGATTTCCAGCAACGTCCTATTAAACTGCGTGACAACATTTCGCAGAAAAATAAAAAGTTACACAAACTGTAGAGACACAGTTTAAAAAGAAAAGAAGACGTACAGTCGAATGATCTGCAGAGAACTTCTTCACTTGCTTCACGAGACATTCGGCAATAAAGGCTTTATTTTCAGAAGAAACTCGATTGTCCGTCAGTGAATCTCGAAACGCTGTCAACCAGTCATCCGTTAGCTTCTTTCCATGGTCTTGAAGTGGCTTCTTCAAAGTAAAATAAAATTTCACCGGAAATTCACTTATTCCTTCCTGAAGCTAATCCTGCAGCACTCATATATACAGTATTCGCGTATCAGTCATCACAAAGTCAACTCCGTCACCAGCTTCCACAAGGACAATGCAAAAATAGGTGAGACAGGTCAGAGTAAGTTTCTTCATGCGAATTACAAGTTTACAACTTGGATGCCTCGATTATTTATAATCAATAATATTAGGATCGTCGTGCGCTAATTCAGGTAATATTATATGAGGGGATCAGTTCAATTACAACCATCATAAATTATTCAATTACAGAAAATTCAATTGGCTTGTTTAATTGAAGACCAAATTAGTTTTTCGTGGGTATTCCAGGTTCAGTATATTTTTCAACTAACGTGCGTGAAAAAATAATGCACGCAAATGATGCAGAATTAAAATAATGAAAGCATCTCACTTCGAAGTGAAATTCGAGAAAACCCGCCAATGAGTTCTCTTCATATTCAGTCACGTTCAAAGCAACCACAACGTCTGAAAATCTCCTTCTCAGCACAACCATTGCTTCCACCTGTAAATTCACAATTAAAATTTTAAAATGCCGTCTTTCCGAAGTTCGAAGTTCACATTCACGAAGAATGTAATGACCACAAAAATTGAGAAAATGAAATAGTGCGCTGTAAAATTCAATATCTCAAAAGACCGTTCACACGTGCACATTATAACGCTAGGACTTTGAAACCACATTCAGCAGTCTTTTTCAAAGAAGCAATTTGAACACATTTTTTCCAAAAATTCATAATTTTTCAAATTAGCTAATGTAATATTAAAAAAAAGCTGCTATACTTTGGAAATGTAACATAATTTCAAGCTAAGTTGAAAGGTGAAAGAACATAATTCGATAAAAGTATAAAATTCAATTCTTCTAAAAAGTGTATCTCATTATCCGTCCAGTTTTCTAAATGTATGATTTTCGAGTGGCTTGAATGTTTGTGGGTCATCCATATAGCGACAGAAAACTTGCCGGAAATCCCTGCGCTTCATCCTCTTGACGTTTCAAAAGTTCCTTCAGGAATATTTTGGCCGACACTGAATGCAAACTCAAACTGACGACCAAATCCAAAACAGCACACAGCAATTCAGGTAGCCTTGCCAATGGCCGTAAAATCCTCGGCCTGTAAGAACATCTTCAAAATTTAGAAGTTTTCCATTCCACTTTTCATGAAGTTAATTTTTCTACCAGAATAACGGCGGGAGTCCTCGAGTGCCAGAGAAAAACTCCGTCTGATTCAAAGCCGCCAAACAAATCAAAATCGTGCTTCCGGAATCCGTGCGTTCCTTTCTAGACTCTTCGATGAGATAACGAATTACCCACTTGAGCAGGCTTTTCTCGTCCAAATAATTGTAATCCATGGGTTCTCCCGCGGGGTTTTCCGGGTTTCTCCTAGTCGCTGCCAGATTCATGCCCATCGTGTAAGCTCTCTTGCCCATGTTTCTCATCTCGTGTCCGGTCATGGATAACACCAAGTCCTCCATGGCAGGAAAACTCTTCTCATTCAGTTCCTCGAACATTTTCAGGATGTGAGCACCTGTTTCGAGATTCAGAAAAGGGAAGATTATAGTACAGTATAACAACAGTATAAAGAAAAATAAGTTTGAAACTCGTGAAATATGATCGCATGATTCTAAATAATGTATCAGACATTCGCGCGTCAAAAATCAAGGTATAAAGATGGACTTCAAAAAAAAAACCTTCTGAATTCATTAAATTAATAAGAGAATCCAATTGAAGAAATTTAGCATTGTACAGTACTGTACATCGATTTACTGTGAAAAACCTTACCCGAAACAAAATCCTCTTGTTCGTCAAAAATCCTTTCCTTAATTTCCGCTCGGGATCGGAAACTGACGGGAACCATAGACAGTTTGAAATCCGTAGGCGAGAATTTTCCGAGCGTTCTGAAAATAAAAGCGGAGAAAAACGCAAGATTAACGAAATCATGCCAAAATTCATCGTTGGACGAATATTAGCTTGCACAAATAGACAAGTCGGACATTTTTAAAACCTGTAACATTCACATAATTCTCAAAATTGCAGAAGAGTATAAAAAATCATCACAAATACAAATACACTTCATGGGCAACCAGCAAGCAGGGAAGTCGCACTCATGAAGTTTTTTATTTGTTTTTCCACAAAAAAAACCTAGAAGACTGAGAAGTTCCATTTTTTTCATAAATTAAATAGGCTCTAGAAAATGTCTTGAGCCAGTTTTTCAACAGGATAAAATTGTCATAGGTGATTTGAGCAATAATTCTCAAACTTAGACCAAATTTACGGGTATTTTGTCGAGTTGCGCATGCATAAGCATTCCTACTACAGTATACTTGCATAATTCATTTTAGGATTTCCTAAAAATTTTTAAAAATTAAAGAGTCTTGGAAATACCTTCCAAAACGAATCTCCGATGAAAGATTAAAATAATCAATCAGACATACAGCACAGTATAAAAAAGGCAACTGACCTCAAAGCCATATTAACAAGATGTACTTGAGTACCACAAGTCAGGTCCCACAGCCAATTGAGAACACGAGTCACAAAAAGATTCGCTTTTCTGCTCGTTCTTTCCACGTCAGCAGCCAATTGAATAACTTCCCCAATTCTAAGAAAAGATTCCCAATATTGAACAAAAAAAGCAGAAATTAACAGATATTAATGCAGGTCTCACTTGGAAATTACAAGCGACCTCGTTTCAGCATGCGCAAGAATCGTCAAGATCTCAAACACATCTTGCAAATCAACAACGCTCTCTTTGCACAAGGCACCAACTGCATCCAAAGCGCATAACGCATGAATTTCCAACCCGGACGGTGCTTTGATGGTGTCCACAACAAGTCCCAAGAAAGCATTGCCAAATTTATTTGCCCTGCAATAGAAAATTTCAAAATGAATTAGCTTTGTGCACAGGCGTCAGGCGACATCTATGTACCCAAAAAAAAAAAATTTCAGAGTACAGGCCGCGCGTCAAACAGAGGGGGACTCAAGAACGCACTTGGACAAACAGATGTCTCGGACTAAGCAACTTTTAGCAATGGCCCAAGCTGCTGAGTCGTTCTTGGATTGAACCAACATCGATTCCAGTTCTCCGAAACACCGATCATCGGCTTTCCACAATTCGTGCATCATGCGCAGGGCCATCACCTCCAAACCCGACTGACTTCTCATGGCTGCAATCAAGTTCAGCAACGGCTTCAGACATGCCTAAAAGATTTTGTCAAACGTGGGAAAGACATTTTGGAGACCATTATGTCCGAGGATTGTCCCAGTTATTTAACGTGGCCGAACATGTGTGATTGTAAAAAAAAAAAAAAAAAAAATCATGGCATAGCATATGATGCTTTCCGGTTCTGCGATTTTTATTTTCATTTTTCAAAATACCACATGATGATGAGTGACAACTTCCCAATTAAAGCCAGAGTTCTCTATTGTCTATACCCATGTCACAGGGGGTTAAAATTTTTCACGCCAGCTAAAAAATTGAAATTTTTGTTTTCGTTTTAACATTTATCTAAAATGCAGAAAAGGTAAGAGTTAAAACAATAAAAATTTAATTTCTCAGCTGGCCTGACACATTTTTAGGACCCTCTGACATGGGTATAGAGTTTATAGACAACTCTGGCTGTACCTGAAAAGTTTTCACTCATCATCATGCAGTAAATCGAAATTTTAAAACTTGAAAATTAAAAACCAGAACCTTGGAACATTATGGGCTATGTCAGGAATATTTTTTCCATCACACATACACCAGAATAATTATTTGATTTAATAAAAATAAATCCGAAGNCATTATGGGCTATGTCAGGAATATTTTTTCCATCACACATACACCAGAATAATTATTTGATTTAATAAAAATAAATCCGAAGACGCTTCACGGAGAAATTGCGGAAAAGTGTGTCAGATTTTGACGTAACTTCGTAAAATAAAATACAAACATAACTCGAAACAAACCTTGTGCACAGCCCACTTGGGCAAAACCTGCATAACTCTGAGTTTAAGCGCACTCGACATGGCCCTGCTGCCCAGCGTCTTGAACGACAGAGTGGCCACAAACACAGGCAACATGCGCACTGCTGCAACAGGATCCTTTTCACCTGCATCCACCAACGCCTCCAGCAGCTCTTCGTGATTCATCCCAAAAGCAGAAATACGCGAGTTTTCTTCGTCGAGTGCCAAAAATTCTCCAAGCATCGCAGTTTGAATAACGACGTCTTCAGCATTCTTTCTGCTGCTTTTAGACTTAGTGTCAAATCCGTCAGTCGTCAACCAGGTTTGCACTCGCAGGATATTGCTCAGGAATGGATGACGAACGATGAGAAAGCCGTTCTCATCCGAGTGGCAATAGATTCGGATCGCAAATTTGGAGTCGGGATCTGCAAAGAAAATGGAGGAGTGCGAAAAAAAGTTGCAATCAAAAAAGTTTAGGCTCTGCTATCAAATTTTGCTCTACTTTCTCCTTCACGTCATAATCGTGAACTAAAAAAGAATCATCTATCGAAACTGCGCGTTAAAAGAATACTGTACTACTGAATCCGGGCTCTATTTTTAAAAATTAAATGACCAAAGTTTGAGTGGAAATCGGTAAAGGCTACGCGCTTTAAGCCACTCCGCCAACTGCTCTTGAAATCGTGGCTACTGTCGAAACCGTTCACTGAGTTGAAGAAGGTTTGGTCGTCACACTGTGCGACCGGCCAACATTGAAAGGACCAAGGTCTTGTTGGCATTTTCCAGTTTCGGAAAAAGCCAATTTGCTGTAATCCGCAGAAAATAAAAAATAAGACCTTCTATATAAGCATGAAAAAAGAAAAATTCACGTTGAAACACTCACCCAAATCAATGGCTGATTCATACAAAGAAATAGGACAGATGGGCAGAAAAACACAGAGGAAAAGCCACAAGAAGGCTTGGTACGCAGGCGACAATTCAGTGACAACAGTGTTCAGCACAGTCATCAGTCTCGGTAAAAATATTGCATTCGACGTGCTTTTTGAGGATTCCCACAAAATCGCACAACAAATTGGCAAAATATTGTCATCATCCGAAGACTTCCACACAGTAGTTGAAGGGAATCGCTGCAGGAGTAAAACTAGTTTGTCTGCAGCTGCTTCAAGATCTTGATCATTGTACAGCTGTTGAATAAAAAAAATTATATTGATCAAAAACACAAACCAACAATTTATGGAGGAGCAAAAATACCAAATCGGAATTTCCAATGAAATCCAAAAAGGATAAATTATGAAACCAGTTCTTCTCTTCATTTCACGCCCAACTCAAAATTGTTGCTTACGATCATAAAAACACAGACTGGATTCTTAATTATTCGTTTTCTTCATCAATTTCATTATTGAGTAATTTTCAAGGTCTGAAAAGAACAACATGTTTTTTTGGCCTGATGCATGGAGCACATGTCCAACACTTTGAATTGGACATTGATTAAATTCTTGAAATGTGGTGTCCATTTCAAACTTCTGAGAGCAAAATCATTCTGCAAAAATGAAATTTTCGTCATCCACTATAAATTAAAAAACCGTCGCGCGTAACCATATTTGTACACGTAAGTACTCAAATAAAAAAAATCATCCACCGTAAGCTTGTTATAATTCATCAAAAACTCATCACCTTTTTTCTGATCCAGACATGATTTCTCAGCAGCTCGTAAACGTCTCGGTACGAAAAGTCCGCACCTCTGTTGGCCAAAATGAGAAAAGCTTCTCTCTGCAAAAGGAAATGTTCCTGAGTCGTCCCTTTATCGTTCAATACAAACTTGAACAGCTCCAACAATAGACCCCATCTGTATAACAAACAATCGGGTCGTCAAAAGTCTTCATTGAAATTCAACTCGGCACTGATAAATCCAAAATGTCATCAACTTCTGAGTTGTCGTTGAGCGTCCAGGACAAAAAATAAATAAAATAAAGGTTGATTTAGATTTCGGTGAAGTTTTTCGACGGTTCATTAATGAAAATATTTTTTGGTAGAGTATTTTCCCTGATTCCAGAAATTCTTTTAAAACCGTTTCAATATATTTCCATGCACTCCAGTTTTATTCGAACTCCATATTTTAACTAAATTTTAAATACATGAAACAGATTTCTAATTACAATACAGAATTCGTCCGCAGCAAATTTCGGACGCCGAAAATTTACACATTCGATATCGAATAAACTTACAGCTTGGAACAATCGGTTCGACGATAAAAATAATCGGCTCCAGAAAGAATCGCATGACCGCAGCTCGGTTTATGAAGCACCAAAGCAACCAAAGGATTAACTGCTGACTTCACTTTTGAACTTCGAAGGTCTTCAAGTTCTCTGTTGGGTGACCAAACTTCGGAGAGATCATCAGCTACAGATAAAACTTCCAACAGCATCAGAATGGCACCCATGGGATTCCTATACAAATTAAATCGGCGTTTTAAATAAAATAAACTTTTCGTAAAAAAAAAAATAGGGAGGCATTTGATAGTTAATTACCTGTTCTGACTGTGAACAACTACCATGACCCCAGAAACGATTTCCGACAGCTTTAATTTCCTCTTCAGATACAATGTCTTCAGTGTTGCAGCAGAAGCCGAGGATTTTGCTTCATCTACATCGCCTAGATGTCTCCACAACTCATTCAACTCAGTCTATACCAAATAGGAAAATAATAGGACGTCATCCACTTCAACAAACACACACATAACCTGTACATACACATAAAAAACGTACTTAACACTACAGTATTTTAATAAATAACCAGACCAGGACGTTTGCTATGGACGCACAGTCACTTTCGTCTCTATGAAATAGTGCACTCTAGAAATTATCATTCAGTTTCATTTCATCTTTCAAACGGAGGTTACCTTGAAGTTAATATTATGTTCATCATATAACATCGAAACTAAATCCGTTACTTGGAATAAAGTTGCCGAATGTTTCCAAAAAATTTTCACTTCGAATTGTCAGTTGTCTGTTCTCATTTCAGATCAGTAAACATTCATCATAGAGGTAGATCACACCAGGGATTTGACGCTGGGTTTTTCCCATCATTTTCTGTTAAATTTTAGCAATAAAAAAAAGTGGAACGTTTGATTCTTCATAAAACCAAAAAAATAACACGGGTAATTAGGACATAGATAATACAGTAGATGGAAATTTCACCTCACAAGCTCCGGATGGGCTCTTCAAAATCTTGTTCTGAAGCTCCAAAAACGCCTGCGGGGTTCAAAAGGAATTTATGCTGACTGCAAACTCGGAAAAAATCGAAAAAAAAACCAGATCACCTTCAAATAAAATGTTGGAACTTCCTGAATTCGTCGATCAGCCTTCGAAGTTTCCATGACGTTTGGATGCGGAAAAAAGCGCGTTTAATCCAAAAAGAGGACTTTTAATAAACCAGCAGTTCAATTCATCCCTCACAGACCTGAAAATACTGAAACACTTAAATGGAAAAATGCTTCCCAAAAATAATGCAGGGACCAGAAATGATAATGAATCATCATGACGACGTAGCTTGAAAAATTTCTTAGGTACAAAACAATCGCCGAATTCGGGAGCAGATGAAAAAAAAATGTTAAGAACTTCACGCGTGAAAAATAAAACTTTCATCGGGAGAAAATAATATCAACCGGATTTGCTCGAAATCATCACCGGATCCACAGAAAAAATGAGCACTTTGGCCCTTTGTCGACTTCCTCGACCGGCATAATTGGACAACTCCAGAATTCTCTCTTCAAATTCGGCCCAGGTTTTTTGACAACGCGTCGAACACACACGAACCCGTGTTTGCACTTGGGTGGTCCAGTCAAAAGGGACTTCCAAGAATTGGAAACATTCCCACTTCGGCTCGTTTCTACTGAAATTTCGGATCGAATCGGAGGAGAACACGATTCCTGCTCAATATCTTCTATAACTCGCTCCACTTCTTGTGAGGCCGATTCAGAAATCACAAATTCGCCGGAGTCCGTCACTTTCTGCCGCTTCACGAAATAGCTCGAAATCAAATTGTTACATTTCTTCGCCTTTTCGCGTTTCTGCACGACAGACGCAACACAATTCTTCTCCCCACGGGCGAAAAAGTCGGTGAGTTTTTGCTGCTTTCGGGCAAACTGGGGCCAGAGTTTCGTGGCCAAGGCTGGACAAACTACGGAGGCGTGGAGTGAACTGGAAAAACTGGTTTCAACTGGACAATGGTCAGAGCCCATGACGTGTGGGCAAACGTCAGCACCTGCCAAAAGATTGGCAGATGCCAAATCTGTCAGGACAAAGTCGATTCTCGTTCCCAAATTTTTGCTCCTCAGGCCAAGTTTCGTGTGCCAACAACTGTAGGCATTCTTCCGGTCCGGATGCATTTTCCGAAAGGAATCAACGAGGAATCCGTCTCCGGATAATTCTGAGTTTAGGAGGGAGCTCTTCAATAACTGCCGATCAGGTCGATCTTTGTAAAAATCCTGTTTGCATAAAACAAGAAAAAAATAATAGTCGAACCTCAGTTCACAAGTCAAATTTAAAGTAACCAGCAAAAAATAATTGAGTTAGGGAGGTTTCAAGTTACGGAAACAAGCGTTGTCGTTCGGGATGAAAAAAGAATTACAGGAGAATTTAATTGGTGATATCCTGGGCCTTAAAGTGCTTTTTAAATGAGTTGACAGGATGCTGAATTTGGGAGGCAAAGGTTCATTTGCCAAAACAGCCTTTCAAAACACATCAAGTTTCATTTTCATTGCTTTTCTCTTTCCTATCTCAATCCAAAAGACCTCAGAAGATTCTAATTATATTGAGGTTTGAGATGGAAAGCTCGAATGATTTCAATGAATTGTTTCTGAGGGAATTCCAACAGGGACTTGAAAAACATTCGACGTGGGGAGGTTTGAGTCATTGAGGTTGTAAGTACTTTTTACAATTCGCGAAGAAGAGTGTTGAACTTTACGATCATTGCCCACAGAAAGTTGGTATACAATTTTTTAAAAATATGATGAATGTAAAAATAATTAAAATACTTCTTCGAAGATTTTCCTGCGAATCCAATTAAATCTGGTATGATACTGTATGAATGCCCACGTAGAAACAGGAGGAACCTAAAAGCAGAAACAACTTTCGAGCTTTCTTGTACGTCTAAAATTTTTCAGAAACTACCAGTGACATCTGCCAACGCCGAATTAATCTATTAATAAAATGGACAAAAGGGAAAAATTCATCATACACTTTCACGCACATTGATATCACCAGGGTCAAAGTGGTCTTCAGGGCTGATACAGACGTTCAAGTCGCCAGTGATGATCACACAATGTCCGGCTGCAGTCATCTTTTTCGCTCGTTGTAGCAAAATTCGCAAAAAGTCCATTTTGTAATCTAGCCTGGGGGGCGGGTTCTCCTCGAAATCAACCCTTGGAACATACACGTTGAAAACGAAGAGCTTCTTCTTTTCATCCGTCAGCGAATCCTGTCATGAACCAGCGACAAATTCAAGTTAGGGAAAAACGAATTTTTGTTGAGCAGAAAGAAATAAGGATTACAGGAAATTGTAATCAGGAATATTCTGGTCCTTGAATTGTTTTTTAAATTAGTTGAAAAGATCCTGAACGTGAAGGCAAGGATTTATTTGCACAATTAGTCTTTTAATTACTTTCAAAACACCAAGTTACATTTTCATTACCTTTCTCTTTCCTGTGACAAAATAATAATAGCCAAAAAGCCTCCAGAACATTCAAGTTCTGGGGGATTGAGGAGGAGAGCCTTTGAGTAAGGGAGGTTTTTAATGCAATCTTTCTAAGAGGAATTCTGACAGGGACTTGGAAAACTTGACGCACGGAGGTTCTAGTTATCCAGGTTCAACTGTAAATTTGTTCCTTCTTTAAAAAAAGAAGTAAACGATAAAGAAAAATACCGAAATCAAGTGTTCCGTCAGAACGCATCTTCCTTCAGTATCCAGCGAACTCAGACCTCCAGAGGATAAATTGTCGTCACTCGCTGAAGCAGTGAATCCAATGACGCTATTCGAATTACTCTGCCAACCTGTTAAACAGTCTTCCGCATTTGTTGGGGTTGCAGTGCTTGACTTGCAGTAAGTTGCAACACCTGGAAAAATTGCATGAATAAGGGAACCAGATTTTCAGCAGCGCAGCAGAAAATCCACCTTCGACTTATTTTCGATCAACCTCAGCACGATTTAATATTTAATAGGTTTTCTCGAGCTGGTCTTTGAATGCCAAAAATGTTTCTTTAAAGCAGCAATTGTTTTCCAGCTAGATCACATGCAGTTTTAATTTTCATCCCAAAAACTATTGTCAGACCCCTCGTATATACGCGTGAAAATGTAGTTAGTGACCAGAATATCCGACTCTCGTTTGCGAAAAGGCGAAGTACGATGTGTAACCAGGAACCACGGCGATCTCTTCCTGCAATGCTTCTCCTAAAATAAAACAAAAAATTCATAAATACAAAGGATTCTGAAACTGGATAAAAAAAAGTTGGGATCAATGACTCACGAGAAATCTTCGTCTCCTGGAAACAGACGATGTCGGCGTCGAAATCGTTCAGCCATTTGCTCAACGGCGTTTTCGGAGTTACCAACGTTCGGATTCCGTTCACGTTCCAGCTGACGATTTTCCAGGGCATCGCACAAAAGAGAACAACCCTTGAATAGTTTTAAAATCACGAATTGTACGTGCGGAAAGTCAAGATGACGGAATGCGAAGTTAAAAAAGGAAAAACAAGGAAAACCCCTCCGGTTTGCCATTTTTCTTGTTTATTCATCTTCACAATTTGAACCCGAGAATGTTGGATCACAATCTTTCCAATCTTTCGGAAGCCTGAAGATGCGCGCATTCAATCTTTTGAGACAACTTTTAAAAATCCCAAAAAAAAAGGGTTTATTGTCAGAAATTCGAACAATAAAATCCAATCGTACGTATCTCAAAAAATTTAAACCACAAGCTCTGGACCCTGTTTCCACTGATCACAATCGTTCATCCATGCGAAAAAGAATTCCACACTCTCAAAATTTCTACAAACCGCCTTGAGAATGAAATGACGGTCACAGCTGCATTTAGAACAAAAAATCAGCATTCCTTTCTTGTACCAAAAATTTCAAAACTTTCATCACACGAACCGCGGCTTCGGAGTTGCTTACACTCATCAGACTTCTCGCAAAAAAATTACGAAATGTTCCAAAACTGACAATGGAACAACTGTCGAGTCCATCGAGGTTCAATCTTCCCAAGAATAATCCGTCAACGTCACTGCCTTTAAACGTCGGAATGCTTCTTGCTTTGTTGTTCGGGTCTTTTTTAACCGGTGCCAAGTTGCTTTTGCAGAAGGTCTTTATCCCGTTGCAATGCAGCCACGGATCGCTTCAAAGAGTGCACTTGGTCCTTCAGGAGCTGCACGTGAGCAGCAAGATGACAGTTTCTCTTGGAAAGGGCCCGAATTTTCGCGTCTTTGCAAAAATCTGACAATCTCCTTTCCGAAGTTTCGTGGATTTCTCTCTGCATTTCTTCACTCGACGAAGACCGAGGCCCAGCATTCCCTTGTTTGGCGGAAAGCTTGAGAAACGAGAAGAGAAAACAATCAAGAACAACATCACATTTGCTTCGTTTTCGTGGCCACTTCTTATGATCATGCAATAAATAAATCACGCGACAATAAGCTACTGCGCAATAAAATTTGTCGAACTTTTAGCGCGTACAAATTCACGAAGTGCAAATCAACTAGTGTAATGGTGTATAAGAGATAAAACAAAGCTGGTTCACATTATCTAATAAATCCTACGTGAAACCCAGTTAACCACGGGAAGCACGCTAGAAAAAAAAAAAAAAACCTGAAGCATATGGAGCTCGGGATGGCTCAGTGTAAAATTAGTGTAAGACAAAAATTCACCTCATTTAAATTAAAAATTTCTTACAAGTTACAACAGAACAAAATTTTTGAACACTTCCTAATAAGTCTAATTCCATCAGTGAATTCGTATTTTCCGCATAGAAATAAGACTCGAATTTCCACTCACATCATTGTCTCCAGAACGATGACGTCGACACCGGTGACGGCATACAAGAGCTCTGAAAAAATAGAACAGAATAAAATTAAAGCGTTGAATAAATCCGGAAATGACATAGCTCAAATGACGAAAAGAGTTTTAAAAAAATCAAAAATCGAGGTCAAACCTTCGGTGGACATCCGCGACGGTCAACGTCCTTTTCCGTCGAAAACCGTCAGAATTCCGTCGGGAATGCTTCACGACACATTTGGCAACACCGACAGCAACTTCATCCTTTCCCAATTTCTCAACGTCGGCCTCGTTGCAGACACCAAGCATCTTCTTGGCGAGGGTTTCCAAAGCAACCCCTTCCGGTAGAACCCTGCTTTCCGCTTTCTTTCCGTTTCCCGGGTCAGACAAGGTGGCCTGCAACGGAAGCTTCGCTTGGACAGCAAGAAATTTTGTGTCAGCTGTAAAAACAAAATGAAAACCAAACGGGAATATCATTACCTGATAATAAACAATTAGCCTCGAAATCAAGTCATTCTGAAAAAAGTTTCAAATTCAACATTTCTTTTCAAGAGGAGCATAACAGGTTGACGTTTTTCAGATGCACCTCATAACTCCCACGACTGCTATTTCTGAAAAAAGGTCAATATACATGCTGTGAGACATAAGCTCAAATTAATTATGATTTTTCTTAAACCCCCTTCATTCCACAATCTCAACAAAAACAGCTCTCTGTTGCTATTCTTGCAAAATTCATCAAAGAAATCCAAATTCGATCATTGACAGGAACACTGTAAAACGATTCCATCAACCAAAATACATACAAAAATTAAAAAGATGAGTTTCCATCTTCCACGAATCCATCACGAGCAGAGTTGAATATTCGCCCTGATGATACCAAAAAGTAAAAATTAAATGAACTCACAAATGGCCAAGGGGCTGATCCGCCTTTCGGTGACCACTTTGTGCAATGGATGAGACGGAATTGCGTTCACTAGTGATGGCACAGACAGGGATTTCGATATGGTTGGCGTGCGAATATCTCCGTCGTGGAAGTCACACACGTTCCATCTGTCTCGACGGTAGGAAACTGCACTGGCCAGCTTCACGACTCGGAAACGACTCTTCCACATTTCCACGTCATTCACAGGCTGAAGACGAAGGAGAAATCCTCGTCAATTTTCGAATAATATTTACAGAATGATAATTATTCAAATATTGTACATCCGAAAAATAGATTGATCGAGAATAATTCAGTAACCCAGAAGTTTTGTAAGCATTGCGCTTCTCGGGTGTCAAGTCCCAGATACAAGACAATTTTACAAATTATCATTCAATCATTACCCAAATTTAACAGTTCCAATCCTCGATCACCAACGCAAAAAAAATCTACAGAAATTTAAAAGTAAACTCCAAAACTCTAGAGGAACGAAGTTCACCTATCGCACGCTTATTCTTTTAGGCGTATGAAGACAGAAAAAAATATTCTTCGCAACAAAATTTCAGGTCTGAGAATACTTTTCCGAAAAATAAAAACGTTGACCTCGACAACGCTTGAATTAATAACGCCTAATGCGAATTTTATTCAAGTATTCCACATATTTGAGCAGAAAATTCCAGAAAAAACCCGTAACAAGTTGCCTCAGGTCTTTTGCAATGCAAGGTTTGTCCCAGTCGGAAGCGACCTCTGATTTTTTTTAGAGTAGGTGTGATTGTAAAAAAAAAAAAAAAATCATGACATGGTCTATTCTGTAAAATTTTTAAATTCTTGGATACTCACAGAAGTTTTCAACTGATTTTATGATGAAAACTTTCTTGGTGCAGCAGGAGTTCTGCATCCATGTCACATGTTGCTAAAAATTTTTCAGGTCCGCCAAATTATTCAATTTATCGTTATTTAACCGATTATCGTTTCCAATTTTTAACTTATAGTCAAAACAAAACATATATAATTTTCTTCAGTTAGCCTGACAAATCTCTAGATCTCTCTGACAGGGGTGGAGAACTCTGGATGTAACTTTGCAGTAAATTTAAAAAACTTTTTCTTAATCCGGGGAAAATCCTATACCATCACGGGCTATATCGTGATTCTTTTTTACAATCACAACTATTTTAAAAATATCAGAGGTCGCGTCCGAATCGGACAAACCCTCGTGTACTGTACTTAATTCCATGAAGTACACTGTACCTGGTTGACTGTCGTCAGTTGAGGACAAACGACGGCTTCCGCGAAACACGGCACTGCCAATTTATTTCTGCTGGACAATACTGCGTCATTGTAACCCTCAACATCCTCTTCTTCCTCCTCGTCGTCGTCGTCCTGCTCTTCTTCTTCTTCTTCGTCTAATCCTCGATTTTCATCCTCACTCGACGAGTTATCCGACGGCGTGTCCGTCACACTAGTGATTTCAAATCGCACTTTCCTCGCCAAAGGAAAAATCGGCGAGCTGGAACTGGACAAACAACTGTCCGGGTTCGGCGAAGGTGTGGAAGAGCACGAAGAACACGGCAAAATCCGGGGGCGAATGAAACATCTTCGGTCCAGCACAGGGACTAGAGCCCATTATGATGAAAACTTTCTTGGTGCAGCAGGAGTTCTGCATCCATGTCACATGTTGCTAAAAATTTTTCAGGTCCGCCAAATTATTCAATTTATCGTTATTTAACCGATTATCGTTTCCAATTTTTAAAATTATAGTCAAGACAAAACAGATATAATTTCCTTCAGTTAGCCTGATAAATCTCTAGATCTCTCTGACAGGGGTGGAGAACTCTTGATGTAACTTTGCAGTAAATAAAAAAAAACTTTTTTTAAATCCGGGGAAAATCCTAGACCATCACGGGCTATATCGTGATTCTTTTTTACAATCACAACTATTTTAAAAATATCAGAGGTCGCGTCCGAATCGGATAAACCCTCGTGTACTGTACCCAATTCCATAAAGTACACTGTACCTGGTTGACTGTCGTCAGTTGAGGACAAACGACGGCTTCCGCGAAACACGGCACTGCCAATTTATTTCTGCTGGACAATACTGCGTCATTGTAACCCTCAACATCCTCTTCCTCCTCGTCGTCGTCCTGCTCTTCTTCTTCTTCTTCGTCTAATCCTCGATTTTCATCCTCACTCGACGAGTTATCCGACGGCGTGTCCGTCACACTAGTGATTTCAAATCGCACTTTCCTCGCCAAAGGGTTTTAGCCGCTCGACCTTGACCTGTTTGTTGACAGGCCCAAGCCGCTTCCACACCTTCTCGTGCTTCTTGTGCCGTTTTAGGCCCCCGCTTACTTTGTAGAAGCCAGGTCGTGTCCCTGATCTCGGGGGTCCACGTATTCCGCAGTCAGGGTCGCCATCACTCCTCTTTTTTCTTTCCTTTCCTTCTTGTCGAATTGTAAAATGTTCACAAAAACCAAAAGGAGTAACCCTTTTTCCACGCTTCGGAGCCCGCGACTTCACAACGCCGACTCACGCTAAGCTCGTTTTTTTTTTCTTTCGAAAAAGTTATCACTTGAAGAGGGTACCCTGTGACAAATGCGCAAAAATACAATATACAGTTGGACCTCAAACCTCCTAGTTTTGTCCGTTTAGTGACAGCTTTATTTAAGCGCGAGTAGATGTCACTAGTAGATTCTGGAGAATTCTAGGCTCAAGATCAAGCTCGAAAGTTGTGTCTGGGTCCGGGTTTCCTCCAGTTCCCACACGGGAAAGTTCGGAGAAAATATTTTAATAAATTGCGTACCTTCCTCCTACTTCAAAAATTGTATCCCAAGTTCCTCTATTCAATGATCATGAAGGTCAAGGCTCTTCTTCACAATTCTAAAAAGTAATTACAGTTGAACCTCAATAACTCAAACCTCCCCAAGTCAAATTTTTTGAAGTCCCTGCCTGAATTCCATTAGAAACAATGCATTAAAAAAAACCTGACGAACTAAAGACTTTCTACTACAAACCTCCAAACTCGATTTTTTTCCCTATAAACCTTTTGGCTATTATTTAACAGACACAGGAAAGAGAAAAGCAATGAAAAAATTAATTTGATGTGTTTTGAAAGGAAGTGAAAGACTATTTCGGCAAATTAACCCTTGCCTCCAAGTTCAGCATCCCATCATCTCATTCAAGAAACAATTAAAGGCCTAGAATATCACACATTAAAATTTCCTGTAATTTTCCATTTTTACCTACCAAACTCGAAGTTGAACTTGGAGAAGTTTGACTGTATTTCAATCATCATATCCACCGGAAATATTCACTTGAGCGAAGAAAATGAAAAAAATACTTGCGTAGTCACACACACACACACACACACACACCAGATGTTGCAACACTCAACAGCTCCATCAAAAAAATTATATGCATCACTCACTCACTCACACTTGAATCGCCAAGTCGGGTACATACATTCACACACAATCTCTTCTGTCACGAACAGGATGCAACAGGTCTCTGGCCCCCGTGGATCCATCACTAACTAGACAACGATATCGCTGGTTTTTAAAAGACCCGCGAAGGATCGACGACAGAGAAGAAAAAAAAAGAAGAGGAATGAGCGATGTCGCAATGACACTGACGAACTTAATTAGATAAGCCAGCCCAACACGCTGACGTTGGGCTGCAAACTCGTGAAACAAACACAGCTTACATCATGCAGAGAGATTCGGGCGAAAAGCACTATTCTTTCAAGAAAATCATGAGAAAATTTTAGGGAACGCGGGGTTGAATTTAAAATTAGAGATGATTTGGCAAGAAAGGTTCGATGCCCTTTTTCTATCTCAACGAAGCCAATTGAAACTGTGAAAACGGAAAAATTTCATTACGAAAAACTGTTGGGGACTTGAGAAAAAAGCTTATTACACCGCATAATTTGTCATAACCAGATTTTCCAAATTAACGCCTAGAAAAACTTTTTCACATCAGACCACTCTATGATCAATTAGATCTTGCTTTTCTGACATTCTCACATTTTTCATGATTGCAAGATAAACTGAGTGATCTTCAGGAAAAAAATATTAGCTTCAATCATGCATTACAACAGTTGTGCCAATCTCTTCATTCTGTTAGGATGATGTGAGTGGAACCACTTGGAAGCATGTGAGTACAGTAATTGATTTCAGTTTCCATTCATGATGCAAGAATCAATCAGTCACATTTGGGATCAGATATTAACCACGGTGCCTGCCTTTGTCAGAAAAATTTCTACTTGGAGAATCTATTGAACATTCCTCAAAAACGCTTGTTATATGGGAATCCGGAAGTTCGTTATGACAAGATATTTCTATTGTAAGCTTTCTACTGGTGCTTGAGAAAATTTTTGCTATCCTGAAAAAATGTGTTGCAATTGATGCATATTCACTCCCTTCATGGCTTCATCTTTGTCGGATAAAAAGCTCCCTTCTTCCATGATTCTGAATACATAATGTTTGCGACAAAACAATTAGGAATCTTTCGAACGTGGAATACTGTACTTCTTCTAATTGCAAGCAAAAAATTAATTTACAGTATTCAAAATAAAAAATAAAATTTAAAATCAACATCGCGAGAATAGTTAAACCCAAATTGTTCCGAATTCAAGGGGAGGTTCAATCACCTTCGATATCACACCAAGGAAAGTACTGTAATTAATTTCGATACATATTCACTTCCATTACTTACTAGTACCGTACATACAGTTTGTCACCAAAATATTATGAGTGTCTTGCAACAGGTTAACAATACTGGTTCTTTTGCTTCCCGCACTATGACGTTCCGGAACGCTGACAATACTTTCTTGCCTAGCAACTCAGATCCGAATCTGATGAGGTCACGCCGCGTACTTTTACAGTGTCTGGTTCGCGGTCATTCCCCGTCCCCGTTCTCGTGTCCAGACTGAATTGCAACATGTATGTCTGGTTCACTTCGAATCTATTTAAGGTCCGCGAAGCGTATTTTCGGTATTCATTGTCGGTCTGGCGTTGGTTGATGTACTAAAGAAATATACGTATCCGTCTTTATAACGAGAAGACTTTATTCACTTCGAAACTCGGGTTTACAGGAACAATAATCTTCTCGTTGAAAGTTTATTCTTGGGAATCAAAATTGACTAAGATTTATTGCATCCAGAAGAAGACGTTCTTCTAGAGTCGCGACAGAGTCTTTTATTGATTTCTCCCAATACGGATAACAACTTACTGGCCACCAATTTTGTCACCAAAATTATAATTTAGTAACAAGTTAAGAGAGTAATTGATTCAAAATGATAGATGAGTTTGGATGGAAGGAGAAGAATTGCTGGAGTTTTGAGAGAAATTGGAGAAAACTAATTAGAGATGAAAAACACAGCACTCAGCTGGGGTACCGGCCTGTCCGCAATTAAGAGGACTGAAAGTGATGATGCTTTTACTCTTCTTTCAGGTAACAACAAGGTGTGAAAATGAAAGCAGTGACGACAAATAAGAACACTTGAACAACTGATTTGAGATTCACCACGCAGGACACAATTGGACAACTGCTTGATTGAATGCTTGAAGGCAAGTGGCAATTTTTGATTTCAGTCCTTATTTATTAATTTCTCACCGGACATTCCTTTTTCCTAGGGTGCAATTTTCTGTCCTTGTGGTGCGGTTTTCTCCTTTCCTGATTGGTTGTTTTGCGGTTGGATCCTTTTTAATATTCTAATCCTGTAACAGTTTTTATTCAAACTTTTCATTATTTTTGTCATTTTTCTGGGACAAAGCTCACCTCGAGATGATGCAGTATGTATCCTTCAGGCCAGATGAAAGCAGGGACAAAGTGCTTGAAAGAGGACAGCATACTATGCACACAAGGTACTTTGAACTTTGTGCACAAGGGAATGAAGTGGCCACAAGGATACTTTATCAGGATGTTCCTCTACACTTCAAATGGGTACAGCAAGGGAAACTGTGGAAGCCCAGGGAGCAAGGAGGTGATCAGGCCATTGGGAGAATGATCTCTTGCTCTTGCTCACCAATGGATATTGAGCAATATCACCTCGGGATGTTGCTCTGCTACATCCATGGACCTAAGGGGTCCAGGCATATCCACACAATTGGCAGTGTAGAATAGGCCTTCTACCAGGGTGCTGCAAGAGCTGCTGGCCTGCTTGCTGATGAAACTGAATGGATAAACTGCTCATCAGAGGCAATGCCGTTCCAGATGCCAGTGCAGCTGAGGTACCCGGTACCTGTTTGCCACCAGTTTGGTGTACTGCCAACCTGCTGATGTGCATGCTTTATGGGATGCCAACTGCCCTAGAAATCTTAAAAAAAAATTATTACAGGAAACCACCACAGAATTCATGGGAGAAGTGAAAAACTGTCAAAGAAGACAGAAAATCAAGAAACAATAAAATTTCAAGGAAAATGAAACCACAAGGAGGACAGCACAGACCAGCAATTAGAAAGAAGACAGCACCAGATTGGCTGGACAAAAATACCACACCACTCACCACAGAAACTTACTCAAAACCAGAACAAGAGAGACCTACTGTTTGTCAAATTGTTGAAGTGAGCAGTTGTCTCTACAATCAACTGTTTTTTGTGCAATTCCTTGGACCAATTTTCCTAAAAAAGTGTACTTGTTCTTTGTCCATCCTCCTTCTGCAAACAAAAGTAAAGGAATAGAAGTTTAGTCCTCTTTGACTGGGGACAGGCTGGTCCCCTGGCGGACTGATGTGTTTTCTTCTATTACGCACTCTGCATCTTCTTTCTTCCCTTTGTTATCCTATGTTGTCGGAACTAATCTTAAATCTATAGTCAATCGCGTTGACGTCTCTTCGCAATCAAACCCAAACTCAGTTCAATATCCGACTAGGATAATCTTGTCGAGAAGCTTTAACTCTGTATACCGGGTTTCGAAGTAAAAGACTTCTTGGTTACCAAAAAGCGTTAGAATATATTTTGTCCAGCAACAACTTCCACAAGATCTCCACAGACAATGAATACCGAAGGTATGCTCGGGCATCCTTTTATCAATTCAATGATGCAGAGGGAAATGACCGGTCATGAACCAGTGCGAGGAAAAGTAAACCGGATGCGCGTGACCGCAATACGTTCTGTATTCTTAATGCGATGTAACGGGATAGACGAGTCACAAGGAATGTACACCAAGTCAAGTATTCTGTGCTAGTCAGGGTACACTCAAATATAAGATGACAAACTCTCCCCAGACGAATAAAAAGAAAAGTTCCATCTTTTCAGAAGTGAGCCTAAAAAGTCAAAAAAGGTCACACAGAGAAAAAATCATTCCAAGGAATTTTTCCTGTGAAGTGCACTTGAAGTGCTACACTGGCAATCAAAAGTAAAGGAGGCATGTCTGGGCATCAATACCTGATGTGGTTCCCATATGACAGCCATCCAGC